GGGGGGGGGAGGAGGACAGCATAACGATCAAAATGGACTACTAGTTAGTACATATATTTTCTCTCCCCATACATATTCTTCCCAAAGATATCTCCCTTCTAATATTAAGTTGAGGATCTGATAAAGAACCTTTTCATGAGACCTCTTTAAATAGGGAAATAGAAAAACAAGCTAAAGAGTAATCACAAGTGCTAATAACGTTACATATAAAAGTTCTAAAAAAGGATATTAACCATTAAATTTTCCACATTCCGTTTACCTTACGAACAAAACAAACTCCATGAAACCTTTTGTTCCATTCCATATTCAGCATTAAAAACCACAGACTCAGATAAGGAAATTAAATCAGGAGCAAAAGAGAAGCAAGAAGAACATTTCCATTTCACTGGCTTAATTTTATAAAGTAATCGATCCAACACTGTAAAATAGTATCTTCAAGAAAACTAAAAGATTCACCAGTAGAAAATAGGGCGAATATACATTGAATTTCATTATCTTTTTTTTGGTCTTCCTTTCTTCTTTTTTTTTAAATTCCGCTTTTTCTCCTTAATTTTTTTTACAATTTATTTACCATTGTTTCCATGTTGTCACTCCGTTGAGAGGGACTTCTCCAAAATCCAGCACCATAAAACTTGTTCCACATTTCCTTCTCTAGCGCCACCACATCCTTATCGGATTCCAAGCTGTTTCCGTCGTCAAGCATTGCGAGCGGGGTGGTGCCGATGGGGTGTTTTGAAAGCTCCGTGTCTTCAGAGCGCACCAAAAGCCCTTTCTTCATCAGCCGACGTCGGCGTTTCCTCCTCAGTGCCTTCCGGCAAAGTCCCGCTGGCAACTTATACACAGCTAGCACGAGGAGATTCACTAGCCCGCAAGGGCAACAGCAACAAACCGCTGCACATTCAGCCGTCGTTCCGCCGGCGACCTCCGCGAACCGCGCCGCCTTCCGAACCCCACCTCGTGAATATGAATCTTGGCCCGATAACAGTGGCTGCCGCCGCCGGTCCACCGAAAGTGATGACGGTGCACGGAGGACTATCTGTTTTGTCATAATCTGAAAAATAAGATTTTTCTCCCCAAAACTATTCAAAAATTAAAGAACCCCACCAGAGATTTTGGTGGGTGGTGGAGGAAATGGCAGTCGTCGGCCTTGGTGAGAGGAGAGAGGCATCAGAGATTTTGGTGGGTGGTGGAGGAAATGGCAGTCGTCGGCCTTGGTGAGAGGAGAGAGGCATCAGAGATTTTGGTGGGGTTGGGGGTGGGGTGCGAGGGGAAATATAGCTGTGGAAATAATGGTAACCCCTCCGAAATTGAAGGCAGAAGTTTTTAAACTACCTGAGTAGGCAAAATATAAATATGAGAATTAATGAAGTTTTAGTTAGTTAAATGTATGTGAGCATAATCTTCTCCTTCTCCTACTCTTTTGCTTTTCTTCTTCTAAATATCTTTCTTCCAAGAATATACTAATCTGGTTCAGAGCAAAGATTGAAGTTTAATTGATTGTGGTGTGACGCTAATATGTGGAGGAGAGAAAAATAAGGGGTTTTTGGTGGAGCACGGTATTGGGATTCAAGGGTGGGAAGAGGGGGATGTGGTCTCAAATTTATAAAGATGACGTGGTGAATGAATGAGGTGTAAGGACATGGATGGATGAAGTATTTTTTATTACAAAATTTTGAAGAGAATGATAAATAATAAACTTGTCTATTATATAATTATTTATTTTCTAATTTATTTCAAAGACAATGACACATTATATATATATATATATATATATATAAATTGTTCATTTTTTTTATTTTTTATTTTATCGTTAATAATATAATTTACTAATTATATAGATGTTATTATATATTTAATACAATAAGTTTTAATAATACTTTTTAAATTTCATGTTGAATCAAACAAATTTACATAAATTAAAATGGATGGAGTAATAGTTTTTGTTGGATTGTATTCTAAAATGCAGTGAGATGCTTGGGATCCCTCCATTCTTTACGGAACATTTTTGATTTGTATTATAAATACGAAAAACTTCTCGATAGAAATTATTTCACTATTAATAATAGGTTTACCTGAATCAAAATTAGTTGGTCCAATAAATTTAGAATATTGGGGGGTTAAATTAGAAAAAAGATGGAATATTGTTTGAAAGGGGTGGGAAGGGTCGAGGGCATGTCAGGTTGGGGACAAGAATACATGAGGGAGTTCAAGGTGTTCTTAGAGGAAGACAGGACACTTGGAGATGGATGATTTTAGAAGATGTACGAGGAAGAGGATGAACTAATTTAGGATTACGGCTAATATACTCTAACAGTGGCTATTTGTTTGAGTTCAGGAGAAAGTGATCAAGTAGTATTTTTTTAATCATCTTTTGACAGTTGTTCTAATGTAATTATAGGTGTCAGGGGTCGGGTCGGGCCGGTCCGGGGTAGAGGAAAAGGGAACCGGCCGGTTTCGTTACCGGGTCGGTTCTGGGCTTCCCCAGTGCAAAATTTAACCGGAACGGTTCCGGGTCTAATGGGTCGGGCCAGGGTTAATTAATTTTTTTTTTGTATTTTGTATAACAATCGTAATTTATATTTATATTAAGATAACGTAAAAATATAAAATATTAAAAACTAACGTATAAAAAGAATATTTAAATAAATTTCAAAGGTTTTAAAAGCCTTATATTTGAAAAATTCATTACGAATTTAAGATAATACAATGAACATGAAAAAAATATAACTTATAGTATAAATCTTATACTGGACACTGGAGTGTTACAACTTGATAGGTAAGGATCAAGCTTCAAACTTCAAAGGCTTTCATAGTTTTATTTTAAATTTTTATTGCATAATAATACTTCAAATTAATCTAACAAACTAAAACATTAAGTTTAAATAAGTCTAATAATTTTAAAATAACACAAATTCTCTCAAATCAACTTAAATACGAATTTCTGGAGGACGCTCAAGATAACTCTTCATATGCCTCCTTAAACAGCCTTTGCCCTCCCACTTTCGACGAAAATTTAAGGCTCGACCACAGTTCTTGCACTTTGCTTTGTGAACTTCTTCATTTTCTTCTACCACCTCAAAGTGTTCCCAAACATATGAGCACACTCTAGAAGCAGGGGGCATGATTTAACTTGAATTAAAAATTTGGGTTTGAGAATTGAGAGATGAGTGAAGAAATGAAGAAGGGGGTCTATTTATACTTTTCAAAAAGCTAAATTAGTAAATAATAAAAGTATTATTTTTAAAAATGCCCAAAAAAGACTATTCTTGCAAATTAGCCGTTGGACAACGGTCTATAACGACCCGGCCGGTCGTTTTGAGAATTTAAGTCCCGTTCGGCGGCATAAGGCCCAGAGCAGCTTCGTATTATGAGTATTGATTTGCGTGCGTGGTCAAAATTCAGTTATCAGATGATTCAGAGTCAAATCGGAAGAAGGATTCAAGTCTTGGAAGCTTAAGCGGTAAGAGTTGATCGGAATTTTGACTTTTGTGTAAACGGCTCTGGAATGAGTTTGGGAGAATTTCGACAGCTTCGTATGGTAATTTTGGACTTAGACGTGCGTCCGGATTTGGATTTGGAGGTCCGTAGGGTAATTTGGAGCATTTCGGCGAAAGTTGAAAAAGTTAAAGTTTTGAAGGTTGAGAGGTTTGACCAATAGTTGACTTTGGCAATTGTCACGCCCCAAAACCGAGGAGTGGGACCGACGCTCAACCGAGTGAACCCGACCGAGTAAGCCTGTTAGATTTCATTCTACCCAAACTCATCCACAAATGGAGATAATACATATTTTCATTAATTAGACAAAATGGTGTTCATGCCTACAATACCAATTTATTTCCCATAGCTTCATCATTTTTAAAGTCTCAATTGACGAATAATACCACCACAACATAACATATTTTTGTCTTTTCCAGCACCAATATACAACCCACACTATGTCTACGGAACCTCTATAGATAAAGAAGAATACAATGATAATGCCGGCAACAAGGCCCCAGCTATACCTCAACCATAATACATAAAGATCAAAAGATACATGACCCCGGAATGAAGTGGGGCTCACCAAGTCAGCTGAGAAGAAGGTGTACTGCTATCACTGATCAATGTCTCCTGCTGTGGAACCACCTGCATCCATTTAAAGATGCAGCGCCCCCGACAAAAGGGACATTAGTACCGTCGAATAGTACTAGTATGAAAACTAAACACCAATTTAAGAATTTAAAAATACAAAATAATTATGATGAGCCAGTGCGGCAATAGAATAATATAGATAACTGTCTCAACCATAGCAAGCTTATTAAAAGCTATCAACAACATTTATAGGATTTAAGATGAGATCCTATGTAACCATCTTCACACAAAGCGGCCCGCCGCCTCACCCGATGTATACAGGTGGAGGTGTACATACAATACCACAACTCTAATCAAGCGGCCCTGCCGCCTTACCCCAATGTATGCGAGTAGATATATAACCACAGTACTAAGAACTTATACAAAGCGGCTATGCCGCCTTACCCCAATATATGCGGGTGGATATATAACCACAGTACTAAGAACTTACACAAAGCGGCTATGTCGCCTCACCCCAATGTATGCGGGTGGTGGTGCCACAACAATACCAAAACCATACACAAAGCGATCGTACCGCCTCACCCCAATGTAAGCGGGTGGAGGTATAGTCCCACAATATCATAATCCCTACACAAAGCAGTTATGCCGCCTCACTCCAATATATATACGGGTGGAGGTGTGTCACAATCACAATCTCTATACCATAATCCCCACACAAAGCGGTCATGCTGCCTCACCCCAATGTATGTGGGTGGAGGTGTATCACAATCGCAATCTCTACGCAACTTGGCTTAATAACTTTCACATAAATCACAACTAGCACTTATAACATGTGGATACGTAATCCATAGTTTGGGACACATTCTCAATTTATAATGCAATATGATAAGAGCATTTGAAATACGAATTGAACATATATCCTCATTACAAAACATATTGGAATACTCTATTTATAACCAACATCTCGGAACTTACACGGATAATGAGAATTCCAACTCTTAAAGAAGAGTTTAGCCAACATACCTCAATTGAGCTTCCTTAAACTCTAAAACGTTTCGGAATTCATAGCAACTTCAATCTATTTTAGAAATATAACAAATTGAACCACAATTAAGAAGATGATCATGGTTCTAGCTTATTTGAGCATTTTATCAAGCACTAGATGTGCATTAAGGTTTCAAGATCCTTTTATGGAGGATTCCATCATCCCACAACCCAACCTTTACCATTTTTAGCTCAACAATCTTTCTACACCCTTTGATAACACATGCATGTAAAATAACCAACCCTCTTGCCCAGAAATTATCTTGCTTATTATCTATTTCCATACAAAATTCAAAATTGAGGGTTAGGGTGTAGAATCTTACCTCTATGATGAAGACCTAGTGAGTTTCCCTTCTCAATCTTCCAAAACATGGGCAAGAATTGAAGAACAATTATTGGAGAACACCTCCTCACTCTAAAATATCAGATAATAGCTCAAAAATGACACAAAGAGTGTATTTAACGAAATAGGGTCGGATTTTAAAAACCCAAAAATGGAGTTCCGGAACAGGTTCTGCGGTCGCATATGCGACCGCATAGTGGTTATGTGGACTGCATACCGGTTGCATAATTGCTGACAAAATTATCAAAAAGGCTGCCTGTGTGTGCGGTCGCATAGTCGACCGCATAGTTGCATCCAACCGGCCAAATTACTGCCTCACTCTGCGGCCATTATGCGGTCCGCAGAGTGATTCTGCGGTAGCATAATGGACCACAAAAATGCACATTTCCGCCAAAAATTTTCTTTTACTTTCCGGTGCATTGTTCAACCCAAAAAGTCCGAGTCGCGGCTCGCAAGCTTGCCGCGAAGAATTTCTATAATCCTCAACATGTAAGCCTAGTTCGACACCGTGAAATATTATTTTCTTTGCAAATTTTATCGGGCTTTATACTTAAGTACTTTGAAATTTTTCGGGGTGTTACACAGAAACTATTCACATTTGTGATCAATGGTTCGCTTTAGCAACCATCACAATTGAGAACAATGCAAAATTGCCATATCTGCAGTTGGGTAAAAGGTTGGCATTTCGAGACTTAGCTCATTTTACACCATTTTGAGTCCTATACTCCATGTAGAGGCGATGTTAGATAGAAATTTCTTCCCAACTCTATAGGTTAGTAAATTCAACTTGTTTTTGTTCAATTTCCATTAACTTTTCATGAATTTTCACCATCAAATCTAAGATTTGATAGAGTAGAATAAGGGTTTTGGGTAGAAATTTAGGATTTTGTAATTTTGAGATTTTGACCTCAAATTGCGGTCGGATTTCGAAACAAATCACATATTTCAACTCGGGGGTAAATGGGTAATCATAATTTTGTCCTAATTTTGGATTTCGACCAGATTAACTTGGGCCCGGATTGACTTTTTGTTAACTTTTCCAAATATATTAAAGATAGAACCTTTTCCATATAAGGATTTTGTAATTTTGAGATTTTGAC